AAGAATGTTCTCGAACAATAAAAGATCAATATGGCTCAAAGTCTTCCGCGCGTGCGCGCGAAAACCCGTGAGAATAAATACGAAATTTGTTTTTCCACACACCTTGCCACGGAATCCTCGATCTTGTCAACTACACACACACACACACACACACGGGACGAATACACGAATCGAATAAGCACATGCGCGTGCACACAAACAGCACACACGCACGCGCACAGGAACATAAACACAGCGCTCACACAGGAACAACACACCTACACCTTGACTGGTACACACACACAAACCCGATTGTATGTAGCCTAATGAGTGCAAGTGCGAGTGCTGGCGCATGCGCGAGAAAGAGAGAGAGATAGAGGGTGAAACAATGTGGCACACGAATACACACACGCACACATCACAGGGTTGGTTGTCCTCGTCAGCGCTTCGTACTGCTCGGTCTGTCTGTCTCTGGTTCGAGTCAGATCGCGATCGAACGAGAGCTGGCTGGCTAGCTAGCTAGCGATCCACCCGCGAACGTGTTCATGTGAAACCACCACACGCAGATCATCCAAATCACATGTGATCCTACAATGCATGCAGACGAACGCGAGTATGACAATGAACACGAACGGAGTGGATGCGATTTCCACCTTTCAGGTGAGTCACATTCGGTCAGATCGGATAGGGTTCCCCTGGGGGGTGGACGGGTGGGATGCACTATGGTTCAGGGTCTATTTCCATTTAGTGCATGATGAATTGTGTGTTGTGTCGTACAGAGAAAATGACGTGTGAACGAAATGGTTAGGATGAACGCACTTTGATGTCGACCAGATCACCAATGCGAATCCATCGATGCGACCGGGTTTCGAACTTGGGACCCTACAAGTAGAATGCGAGTATGATAACATTTGGACCGTCTGAGCAGGTGATCTGATTAGATCTTTTCGCCGTGCCTTGTACACGACTAAGCATAATTCAGCTTGTATGATTGATACAGGTATCTAACCTCACTTAGCACAGGCTCAGTCTTCAGTAGTCAGTATGCGGTTGGAAACATTCCACATCTCTAACTAACAATATCAGGCTGTATTGACAGGAACCCGACAGCTGGAACGTGCTCGGTGCACTCCACGGTTAGGTACGGGACCGAACTCAACTGCAAACGCAACACACATCCAATACCAATGCCCACATAATCATTCAGTGAGCAGAAATTCCATAGCCTGCGTTCATTCACCGAAATTCCATTCCGGTTCTTTGGTCAGGTAGTCGTTCACGAACAGATGAATTCGCACCAAATTCGGAACAACATTTTTTTAAGGCACAAATTAAACCAACTTGGACTGGTCCAAGAGACAAACGAGACGAGTGACTGTGACACAGATGAGCGGATGTTATTCACGCACCTGAAACCATTTCTCACTGATTAAAGGAACCATTGATTTTGAATGCCTACAGACCGAATTCCAATCATGACGCTAATGCACAACATAGTATTGTTAGAGGCCCGTAAGCCTCCAACACAGGAAATCAGAACATACAAGAGGGTTAACGATTTAATGCATGATCGTCAGAATACATCAATCGAATAAACGATTGCCTAAAGCGAGATCAAGCTGACTCGCAGACAAAACGACCTCGATGGGGTATTGGCCGGTGTCTGGCATGAACAACTGTATCACGAGATTGGAAG